TGTGTGACTCTTGGAGTTCGACAAACACTAGATTCAATCCTAGTAGTGATCTGAAAGTTGGACCTCCGACAAGAGAATCTAAGCACAACACAGGAAAGTCAAACCACTAGGAATCAAGGGGTATTTGGTGAGTAAAAGCGGAGGCTCCCCCTCAATCAATGAATCTTTTCCTTTTTTTTTCTTTCTTTCTTTTGCACATTTTTTTCCCTTTCTTTTGCATATTTTGTCTTCTTCTCTTTCTTTTTCTTTTTCTTTTTCTTTTGCACAATCATTGGTGGCTGACACGCTCAAGAGTATGGAAACCGAACCAGAGAAGCATGGATATAATAAGGATGGCCTGGATGGTGACTCTGAGGTAGCCTTTTCCTCATGGCTAGACTGCAAAGAATTAAGGGGAAAGCCATGGAAATGCAAAAAGATGGTAGGTGGTTAAGAGACTCAACATCACCCATGATATGCTAGTATAGGTCAATTCCTCTAGAAACGCAAAAGACCAATGCCAAAAGTCCATAGAAAAAAAATAATCACTAAGGCGGAAGACTCCAAAATTTGCTAATCCAAGAGTGTGTACAGAATGAGACAAACTAATCAAAAGCACACACTCCAAAACGAGTAATGACCACAGAAAGCACACATATATTAACATGTAATGGATATTTTCATCAAATCCAATATGCACCAAAGACAACTCAAAAATTTCAAGCTTGCAAAACCATACTAAGAAAATCTTTTTGGGATTTTTTTCTTTTCTTTTTTTTTTCAAAAATAAAGCAAGACAAAAAAATGAACAAGCACACATTTTTTTTTTCATTAAAAACAACACACAAAAACCCAAAAGCTAAAGCAAATAAAAAAAATTAACACAAGTCAAGTTTCCTCACCCAAATCTTTTTTATCTTAACAAAATTAGGTCTAGCGGTCTTGGTAAATGTCGTGGCATTGTGAACACCCTCATGAATCTTGGTATTCTACCTGGACATGTAAGGTTGTCTCCTAACCCAAAAAGTATTCAAATTTCTATCCTTTTGAGACACTCTCCCATGCAACTTATAACAATAAGGGCGAATATGACCATGCATACCACAATGATGACAAATAAAAACAGGGTGTACAGGGTGTACCTTTTTTTCTTTTACCTTACCAACTCTAGGAAGTTTGAGAAGTCCATCCTCATGTTGAATTTTTTGTTCTCCTTTTTCTTGAGTTCTTGTATCATGAGATGTAGATGCACTCTGTTTTTGCTCTTTGTTATCACCAAAGCCAATGCCACTCTTGTCACAACTCATTTGTTGAGACCCAATGATATCCTCCAAAGTCATTAATCCTTTGTTCCAAAGACCAATGGTAGCCATAGCACACTTGAGCTCTTCCTCTTTCTTGATCATTAGTTCTTCCAAAGAAACTTGTGACATCTCGAGAGATTCAATCTTTTCTTTATACATGGCATGGGTTTGCAGTAGCTCATTCCTCTCTGTCTCACAAGTCAATAGTTTTGCATAAAGAACTTGTTGATCATCAGCTATCTTGATGGCATTAATCCTGGCCTCGAAAATCTCCTCCTTTAGTTTGACATTCTCACTTTCACATGCTTTGAGTTTCTTTGTGAGTTTGTCATTCAATTTGAATAAGTTAAGAAACTCCTTATACAACTTTTCATAAGCTTGCTCAAGCTCTTCATGATCACTCTCCGAGGATTCATCATCAGTGATATTCTCAATTGACTTCTTCGGAGAATCTGTTTGTCCTTCAGCTTCGAAAGCCGCCATGAAAACAAGGAATTGTTTATGTCCCTCTTCGCCTTGATCTTCGTTGTCATTTTCATCTTCATCAGATTCTGATTCATCATCCCAAGTGATGGCGAGGGCTTTCTTCTTCCTCAAACGAGTAGGGCATTCTGAAGCAAAGTGGCCAAATCCTTGGCATTCATAACATTGGAGTCTTTCAGAGTTCCCTTGTATCTTTCCTTTCTCCTTCTTGGCTATGGAATTAATTTTGAGTTTATCTTTGCCTTTAGATTTATGAGAATAAGTAGATTCCAAAAGATTAAGATTCTTTTTCAAAAAAGATTTTTTAAATTGTTTAACAAAAGTAGCCGTAATCTTGGAATCTATATCACAATCCTCATCAGAATCCTCTCTAACTTTATGAGCACTACTAAAAGCAATTTCTTTTTGTTTCTTTTTGAAATTCCTGTGTGCCTCATAAGTTTGGAGATTTCCAACCAACTGATCCAGCTTGAGGTTGTCAACAACTTAAGCCTCGTCAATAGTCGTAACTTTTGGTTGGAACCGATCGGGTAAGGATCACAAAATTTTTCCCACAACTTTGGATTCTGGAATTTTTTCACCTAAATTGAAACTGGAATTTACAATGTCATTCAACTTCGCATAAAATTCATCAAAGGTCTCACTATCTTTCATTGAAAGGTTTTCGAAACTAGACGTGAGCCTTTGAAGTTTTGAGCGTTTAACAGAAGGAGTGCCCTCATGAATAGTTTGTAAGATATCCCAAGCCTCTTTTGCGACTTCACAATTACAAATCTGACTAAATTCTTCAGGTGTGACAGTGTAAAAAAAAGAATTGATGGCTTTACTATTCCAGTTACTATTTTGGTAATCAATTGTGTCCCACTTATCAATTGGTTTGGGGATTATAACTCCATCAACAATAATTGTTGGTTTGGTCCACCCATTCATGACAGCTTGCCAAACTTTTTCATCTATAGATTTCAAAAACGATCTCATTCGAGCTTTCCAAAAAGAATAATTGGATCTGTCAAGTAGGGGTGGTCGAACCATCGAATTTCCCTCGCGAATTGAATCCATTATCACAAATCAAACAAGATCTCGTTCTAAAAGAATATATATTTTTTTTAAAACAAATAGAACGGCCTGCTCTGATACCAATTGAAAAATTTAGAAATCGCCTAGATATTGATTTGTGATTATGTAACAATTTTAAGCAGTATAAAACAATCCCAATCAAACAATCAAGACAAATTAACACAACGATTTTAACGTGGAAAAACCACAATTGGACACCTCCAACTGTAATTAAAAAAACCACGGGCAAGAGCCACAAAACAATCCACTAAGAAGATTTAAAGGAATTACACAGGTATACTCTCAATTATCTAGCGAATCCACGCCTAATTGAACCAACCTCTATGTGCCTCTTCCAACTCGTCTTCACCTCGAAATTGTCTTGACGATGAGTCACCCCAGAATCCACCAAAGTTTTAGGCTCAAATTCTTCAGAATCCACCGAAGAACAACTCTCTCTTTTGTAGAACAAACAAAACCTTTGATGTATACTCTTTAAAACATGAGTTGAATACTCAATCAAAATATCAAAGAAACCTCACAAAATATCCCCAGATATAAACCTTAAGAACCAAAAAGAAGATCTGGAGGAATTAATTTAGTTTTGGGAGAAAACCAACTACTTATAGAAAACTAAAGTAATCCTAATTTTGGAAGAAAACCAATTCCTTATAGAAATCCAAAGTAATCATAGTTTTGGAAGAAAACCCACTTCTTACAGAAATCCTTGTCAAACGGGATTGCCAAGAATTAAACCTAACACAATAAATACATTTTTTTGCTACCATTCAATAAATGAACAATTATTTTGTAAAATGGTTTCATAGTTGAAAATAAACAGTGTAGCAATACATTTTAATTGAAAAGACAATGAGGTAATTCAACGAAATTTCGTTGTTCAAAATTGATGGTTCGATATTCAATGGTTCAATGATGCGATTCACAAAACCCAAGTCTTGGTGACTACGGTCACTTAGCTTGTGACAAGGCCCAGAACCACACATAGACCGGTGGTAAAGCCCCAAAAAAAACTAGTTTCTGTGCCAATAATAACCCCTATTGCCTAAGGTCCAAATCTAATGTTCAAAATTTAAACAATACACAACTTTTAAATAAAATATTCGATATTTTCAGAATAAACATTTAGTACAATTTTCATAATAGTTTCATAAAATATTCAAATAATTTTCATAATAATATTCGATGCTGTTTTATACTTGACTCATATTTTATTTTAAGAGAACATGAAGGCTATGAATAAATATTTATAATTTTAAATGATTCAATAGGAATAAAAAAAATGTACCAACATTAATAGAGGGTTGCTTACGTCAAACGCTTAGAAATAATATTCCAACACCAACTCCAAACACCCAGCTCCACCACTTCAATCACACAAACCTAATAAATAAAACAATAAATCATTTGTTCATTTGTTGTAGGATAGACCACTTTATTTATTTTGTAGATGATTGTTCATTTTCTTGAATCCTTCAACCTGATTATCTATCATAAATCCAATTTGATAGACCATCACTGATAAGGCAAATAAACTGAAATGGGAATTGGCTGATCTGATCTGTTCATTTGTTCTAGGCAGATAGACCATCACTGATAAGGCAATCTGTATGGTACAGGTTGGTTCCAAGTGCCACATGAAGATATAAAATAATTGAGGAAAATAATTGAACAGGTTGGTTCCAAGTGGCACAAGTTGGTTCCAAGTTCCAAGTTCAACCTGTTAACAAATGCATGCATGTCAACCTTTTCTGAGAAATAATGTCAACCTGTTCAACCTGTTAAGAAATGCATGCATGTCAACATTTTCTCAGAAATAATGTAAACCTGTTCAACCTGTTTCCTTACATGCATAGCAATCTTTTCTGAGCACAATTCCCATCATATACACTGTTAAGAAATGCCCCTATTCATTCAACAAATTTCCAACTTTGTGAAGTTCAACCTGTTCAACCTGTTATACACATTCAACTTGTTAATCATTCAAGAAATGCCCCTGTTCATTCAACAAATTTCATACTTTGTGAAGTTCAACCTGTTCAACCTGTTATACACATTCAACCTGTTAATCATTCAAGAAATGCCCCTGTTCATTCAACAAATTTCACACATTGTCAAGTTCACACACTGTTCATTCAACACACTGTTAAGCAACCAACATAATTCAACAGATTCCACACACTGTTCATTCAACACATTTCATCTCAAACAAACCTGTTATACACTTGTTTTTTCAAACCATCAGATTTTTAAGCACCGAAAAAAAATTACAAAACAAGTAGAAAAGTAGATTACAGCCACAACATGTTCCAAAACCTAACAACTGAGTCATTTACATGATAAAGTACAAAAATACAAAAAAATACAATTACATAAGTCATTCCCTTGAAAATTTTCTCCATCATTTGAAGCCTTCTATCATGCTCACCAACCCTTCTCCTTAGATCATTAATTTCTTTTGTTGTTGAATCTGTCCGAGGTGCAGCAGTGGCACGGATTGTGGAGGTAATGTCGTCGTCGTCATCATCTGCGAACCACCTGAAGTAATTGTAGTGTTCGTTCCTAGTCTACAATGGACAAGAATCAATTAATCAATAAAGGACAAATCAAATTTGTAAAAAGTAACAGATTCATTTATATAACAGGTACTTACATATTTTCTTGGGCAAACAAAATAGACACGTCCTTGATTTCCATTGTCATTGCTTTGTACAATACGCATGGAAGCTATTCTTCCACAATTACAATACCTTGGCTTTAATCTCATGTCCGTATTATTAGTAGAAGTTAAAGCTATTTTGTTATCTGCATAACAAATACCAACAGATTCAACTAACGATGTTCTTTCTATATTTTTTTTATCAACAATGGTAGAAGGTTGAGACTTGGGCTTTGGAAATTGAAAAGGATTCGCTACGCTGTGCAGCACAACTGCAACTCAGCAACAACTAAAGTTTATATGGTCACATTGTGTGTGTGTATTGGACACACATACATATATATATATATATATATAAGTGATAATGCATTAGAGTTGAGATATAAATGACTTATCATTATATATAAGCAGACTGCTTACTTGTAGAGAATCATCAATAATAGGTTAAGCACATTATTTATTTATTGTGATAAATCAAAAGCCAAGAACAAAGGTCGTTGAATTTGGGCTGTTGGATTTCACTTTGTATTTGGTCAAGCATCCTTGATGAAATCAGTCCATATACCATCAATCAAAATCAAAGAAAGAAGATATATAGATTGATAAATTTTTAAAAATAAAAATTTTTGGAGTAAAAAATTTACTCCATGCCAACCGAGTAAATTTACCTTTTGGAGTAAAAATTCACTTTGTCCTTCATTCAAATTAAGTAGGTGTTTGGCATGCACCAAAAACATACATACATTTATTTGGATCACATCAATCAACATGTAACAACCCGCATTTTATGTCCTAGTCATGTTTGCATGCAGTTGTATGTTTTGCCATGTTAAGTCGCTGTAACAACCCATATTCATGTTGTAGTCATGTTCATGTTCATTTATATAGTTTTGCCTTGTTAAGTTTGCATTCATGAATCTTGTCTTGTTTTGTGTTTATGTGATTTGTCTAAGTGTTGTGCGCCTGCTTTGATCCTTCCTTGGTGTCTCAAGCCTAGGTCGTGTCAAGCCTAGGTCGTGCCATGCCTAAGTTACGTTAAGCCTAGATCATTCCAAGCCGAGGTCATCTTTAGTCTAGAAGTATCTTGGAACCCTTTCGTTTGACCTCCACCTTTGCTTTGACATATTGGCTGAGATGTCATTATCTAGGCCGAGGTGTTAATCACCAAGGCCGAGATGTGTATTGTCTAGGCCGAGATGTTACCTTTGCACCTGAGTGATCTTGTCATGGAGTGGTATGACCTAGACCGAGATGTGGCACATCTAGGCTAAGGTGTGGCACAGCTTAGTCAAGCATTGTCCTTCCTAGCCGAGGTCATTGTCACCTTAGTTGCCGAAGCTTTGTCCTTAGCCGATGTCACCCATTGCCGGAGTGCCTTACCGAGTAGCTTGTTAGATACGCTTTGTCATAGTCTTGTCTTGTCAACCCATCACCTTTTTTAAGAGAACCAACCAGCTGTTGCCACGTGTCCGAGCTGAGAGTTAAGTCAGCCGGCAGAGAGAGAAACCCATCATTTGTTGTATCTTTGTTTTGAAGAGTAGAGAGAGAAGCTCTAGAAGAGGGAGAGGAGTTCTTGAGGGAGAGAAGATTTCCAAGCTTGATCCCTAAAGATCGAACCGTTTGATCCGTGTTCTAAGGTTAGATTCTTGATCTGCTCATGTTGTTCTTTATGTTTATGATATTGCATTGCATGATTGAATATGATTTGTAAGCCATGTATTGCTTTGAAGTTCGGTTTTGGAAAGAGAAATAGTATTCATATGTTCTTCAAGAAAAGTCATGTTTTGATCCAAAACCTCATGCCTAGATCCATGTTTTTGTGTTTGTTTTCACATGATTTTCAAGTATGGGTACCCAGGTCCATGTTTTGAACTCATAACATGAAAACCCCTGATTTTGTAAATAAGGAAGTTATGATTTTGGCATCCATGTTCTTCATGTTCTTCGTGTTCTTCCTGTTCTTCACGGGTGGAAACCCAGATCTCCAGACCTCACTTCCCGAAGTATAGTCACCGAGGTCACTCTTACTTAGACCTCACACTTAGGCCAAGTATCGTATCTCACATTGGCCTACCTTGCATGATCACTTACACCTTAGTTGTCTTGTGCGCACCACGGCATGCAGCCGCATGCCGAAGCCTAGGTTACCTCGGCCAGGAGGTGTGGGACCTCGGCAAAGACCTGGTTGGTACCCAGCATGTCTTCCTGACATGTAAAACAGTGTTTTGACTTCCAGCATGTTTTTCCGAGATCATTTGCCTGCATGTAAGACTTGTTTTGAGAAGTGCATTTAGTGTGCTTTGCCATATGTTTGTAGGACTTGGACCTTTGCCTTGATCCCGACGTCTCAAGAACTAATGTGAGTGGTATTTTTAATAAAGCTATGTTATAAAGTTTTGATAAAGCTTTGCCTTGTTTTGATAAAAGTATTTGTTAAGCATGAATGATGTCCCTATTTTATGTATCAAGTATAAGCTTTTTTTTGGATGACATTCTTGGAACCGTCCTTTCGTGTTAGGGGACATTAAGCTTAAGTAACACCGTCCTTTCGTGTTAGGGAACGTTAAGCCTAAGTCACACCGTCCTTTCGTGTTAGGGGACGTTAAGCCTAGGTAACATAGTCCGTACGTGCCAAGGGACTTTAAGCATTTGTGGCATAAGTCCTTCCGTGCTAGGGGACTTTAAGCCTAAGTAGCAATAGTCCTTCCGTGCTAGGGGACTTTAAGCCTAAGTAGCATAGTCCTTCCGTGCTAGGGGACTTTAAGCCTAAGTAGCATAGTCCTTCCGTGCTAGGGGACTTTAAGCCTAAGTAGCATAGTCCTTCCGTGCTAGGGGACTTTAAGCCTAAGTAGCATAGTCCTTCCGTGCTAGGGGACTTTAAGCCTAAGTAGCATAGTCCTTCCGTGCTAGGGGACTTTAAGCCTAAGTAGCATAGTCCTTCCGTGCTAGGGGACTTTAAGCCTAAGTAGCATAGTCCTTCCGTGCTAGGGGACTTAAAGCCTAGGTAGCACCGTCCTTTCGTGCTAGGGGACGTTAAGCCTAAGTAGCACCCTTGTTAAGATATCGGCCACCGACGGACTACGAAC